AAAGCTAGAAACAGAAATACCGTAAGATCCAGCAATCCCACTCCTAGGAACATATCCTAGAGAAATAACAGCCATCACACAAATAGACATATGCACACCCATGTTCACTGCAGCATTATTCACAATAGCAAAAAGACGGAAACAATCTAAGTGCTCATCAACAGATGAATGGATAAACTATGGTACATAAATACAACGGAATACTACTCAACAATAAAGAGCAATGATGAATCTGCAAACCATCTCACAACATGGATGAATATGGAGGGCATTATGCAGAGTAAAATAAGTCAATCATAAACGGACAAATACTGTATGAGACTCCTACTAAAAAAACACATGAATATGTTTCCACACAGAAAGAAATAATCTTTGATGGTTACAAGGGAGGGGAGGGGCTGAGGAGGAGAAAAATCACTAACTAGATAGTAGGTAAGTGGTAACTTCAATGAAGAGTAAGACAGTACATGATGCTGGGGAGGTCAGCATACCAGGGCAAAGTCACAGAAGCTCCACAGACACATCCAAATACCCTGAGGGACTGAAGGGCTGAGGGCCAGGGATCATGGTCTCCTGGAACATCTAGCTCAATCGATAACATATTCTATAAAGAAAATGTTCTACATCCAACTGTGGTGGGTAGTGACTGGGGTCTTAAAAGCCTGCGAGCAACCATCTAAGATACATCTACTGGTCCCATACTGGCTGAAGCAATGGAGAATGAAGAAAACTAAAGACACAAGGGAAAGATTAGTCCAAAGGCCTAATGGACCACAACTATCACAGCCTCAACCAGACTGAGCCCAGAACAACTAGACGGTGCCCGGTTACCACCACTGACTGCTCTGGCGGGGATCACAATAGAGGGTCCTGGACAGAGCTGGAGAAAAATGTAGAATAAAATTTAAATTCACACACACACACACACACACACACACACACACACACACACACAAAGACCAGGCTTGCTGGTCTGACAGACACTGGAGAAACCCCGAGCGTATGGCCCTCAGACACCCTTTTAACTCAGTACTGAAGTCACTCCTGAGGTTCACCCTTCAGACAAAGATTACACAGGTCTATAAGGCCAAAAATAACACACGTGAGGAATGTGCTTCGTAGTTCAATCATGTATACAAGACTGACGGGCACAGCAGCCCAAAAGCAAAGACAAGAAGGCGAGAAAGGATAGGAAAACTGTATGAATGGAAACAGGGAACCTGGGGTGAAGAAGGGGAGAGTGCTGACACATCACAATGTTGGCAACCAATGTCACAAAATAATCTGTGTATTAACGGTTTAATGAGAAACTAATTTGCTCTGTAAACTTTCACCTAAAGTACAATTAAAAAAAATAAAGTATAACTCAATGATTAACACCTAGAAAAAAATGCAAATATTTCCTCTTCCTTTAAATGAGGCCAAAGTGTATTCTTTTCTTTTGTTCATTTGGTTCTCAGACTATACATATTAAATTCTCACTAGAGTTCAATTCTCCTGAACTTCCCAGAAGCACTATGGAAAGAAGAAAGCTTTCCCCAAAGAAAGTTTGTACACGACAGTATAGAACAACATAGCCAAGGAAGTTGAGCTTTAATTCTCATTCATCAAAATACTAGAGTAATAAAAGATCAATTGTCAAAACTGTGGAGTAATACTTTATGTGGCAGATTTGGGTCACTAGTGACTCAGCTGCAGCCATGGAATCAGCATTTATTGGCAGTAGTAAAAGCCAGACTTCACCCTGTTGTTGTAGTTAGTTGCTGTAGAGTAGACTCTGACTCGTGTGCAGAATAGAACTTTTCCATAGGGTTTTCAAGCCTGTAACCTTTCAGAAGCAGATCACCAGGCCTGCTTCCCACGGCACCTCTCGGTGGGTTTGAACCACCAATCTTTATTCGACTGCTTAACCATCTGCACCACTCAGGCCACCCTGCCTTCACCCTAAGTTCTAACTACTCAAATAAATAAAAATAGCAATGGAAAATCCTCCTTATTCACCTCTATAAAAATTCTTCAAGCATATTCTTCATTTATAGTCTAATTTTCATTTAACATAATGTAGACACAGATACAGCAAAAGCCCAGTCCTCAACCCATCAACCCAAGCCTGCTAGGCCTCTTCCCTGTTTATGGAAAAAAAAAAGAGTGAAGAATGAATAATAACACAGTTTATATTGCGGCTGTAGGACCAAAGTCTTAGAGAATTATCACATGTCAAGCGAGAGCTGTTTTTCATCTCCTAATAGCCTTGATTTGGGAACAGTATACATGTGTTCTCAAAGTACTAATATTCTTCAATTATCTCAGTTCCATATTCAGTATAAATTTTTACTTTACTAAAATGAAGAAATGCTGCCAGTGAAAATATCCAAAAGTGAGGTTAGGAAATTAGTACCATGTTAGTTCATGTTTTCCTATGTATCCATCCTGCTATGAATCATAGTCATCAATTACATACTATGAAAATGTATAGTCTTTAAAAAAACCCACCCAACTCATTGCCACTGAGTCGATTTCAACTCATAGCGAGCCTATACGACAGAGTAGAACTGCCTCATAGTGTTTCCAAGGAGCAGCAGGTAGATTCAAACTGCCAATCTTTTGGCTAGGAGCCAAGCTTTTAACCACTGTGCCAGCAGGGCTCCATATAGTCTTTAGACTGTACAAATATATCATATAGTTAAAAGCAAAATACCAGCCTAAAGTTCAAAAACTCCAAGAACCTAAGTAAGGTAAAAAAACCAAAGTAGTATTAATACTGAAATTTTAACTTATCTTATGTATGGCTTCTTCTACTGTTGATTTGCTCCTGGATATAACAGAATAGTGAGTATACTACTAGACAGTACAATCCACTGGTGTTATTATGAAAAAACACAAGGGTATTACCAGCTGCTAACCGAAAGGCTGGAAGTTTGAGGCCACCCAGAGGCATCTCAAAAGAAAGGCCTGGCGATTTCCTTCCAAAAAATCAGCCATTGAAAATCCTATGAAGCATAGTTCTACTCTGACACACATGAGGTCACCATGAGTGGAAACTGACCCATGGCTTATCACAATTAAAAACAAAACACTCCCTCAAACCCGAGGCTCTCTAGTGCTATTCCTTGATATGATCACTGTCAAGTTTCTTGTATCTTTCCAAAAGTTTTCTAAACAATATAGGCATGTTTAAATATGTATGTAATATGAGTCCAAATACAAATTTGGAATAAACAAATAAAAAATTTTGGAGAGAACATAAATTCCTTACTCTATGAGATGAACACCATGGCTCATCAATTTAAGTCACAGAGAGAAAAACCTGAGAAAAGAACTTTTAATTAAAAGAAAAAAAGAAAAAAAAGAAAATTATTCAATATGGTAGCAATTATACTTGTTGATTTTCTATGAGAAAATAGTCTGCATTTCACAAGAATTTTTACAAGCAAATTTCATATTACCCAACCGCTCAATAACCAAGGATCTATGAAAGTCAACTCCATCACTTCTGTGAATTTTAGCACTATGTTTACTGTTTGGGCAATGTATCTACACTGTTTTTATAGCTTCTTTCTAATATCGTTTAACCTAGTGAAATACAGGCACAAGATGCCATTTTAAAGTTACCTTTTACATTTCCAAAGTGCGTATCTGTTCTTGGTCTTTCCCACCTTGATCACTTTAGCTTCTATACCTCCCTTGTTCATCCTGCTTCAAACTGAAAGCTATACCACACCAGTTATTGTGATTTTCCAAAATACTACCGTCCCATATGTCCACCACGTACTGACAGAATTTTAAATTCCAAAGCTCTTTTACTTCATTATATTCTTACTCCAACTGCTATTTGTCATCACAAAATGGTATCTAGTATGTTCCTCTTGGTCTTGGGCACACCTGGTTTCTAATTTTTGTTTGTCTTTTGTGTCATACACTCCATGCCTTACTTAACAAGTGTCTCATGACTGGAAACAGAGATCATTCTCTAAGCCCTTTTCTCCTCTAAGAGAAAATGACCCTTCTGAAACACCAGGTGGCCATTTTCACACGAAGTTTACATCAAGCCTAATGTAGAGCATCATTTATCTTAAAATAAGCATTATTTCCAACTCACGGCTAACAAAGAATTTGAGAACAAGGAGAAAAAGATGAGGAACCCAACTCCATTAGTTTCCATACTCAGCTAAATGTATTATGCAGAGGATTGCCTGAGATAAAAATAATATAATCAATACTATAACTCTTGCTATTAATGCACTCTTCCAAAACTTCCTTTAAAAAAAAAAAATTGGATTCGAGTTGACCCCATATAAAGATGCTCATTTTACAGACGTCAGTCTTACAATGTTACTTGCAAAAAAAAGAAACAAACTTTCAATTATTCTAATAACAGCAAGTCTTTCAGTGGACACTCACTGCTCTTCATTGTGTCAGAAAAAAACAAGAAAATGAATGAATCTTTTTATGATAGGAGAAAAAAAATTAACTTCCCCCGCCAGCTGTCAGAAGAAAATATCCCTTTCACTACATTTTTAAAAACGGAGAAAACTAAAACCGAATCATTTTCAGGCCTAGAGCAGAAGGGTGGTGTGAAACAGCACAGAAAACTCTTAATGGCTTTGAACACCAGAAACAACTACTCATCTCCCAAAAAAGACATGCCAAAAAGCAGTAGTCATTTCCGCCACGCAGATAAGCTTGGGTTCAAATAGGAACGTTTCTGGCAAAGTGGCCAAAGTAGAGAAGAATGTAATGCACACTATTAGCCCGTCTATGCTTCTGCTTCGAAATCAGGAATGAGCGAGAGAAGGGACGGTAAAAGGAAAGGCGCTTTTTGAAGAGTCGCCCGTGACAGCAGCTCAGAAAGGGAGGGTGGACGGTGACACTAAAGTGACTTCCACCAGGGCTGGCAATGGTGAGGGAAGCTTTACATAAGCAGGTCGTGGAAACCCCGCGGCTCAGGAGAGAGTTGCGCGCCGCGCGTGAAACGCGCTCGGGCCGGGGCGGCCACTCACCCAGGCGGGCAGGTCGGAGGAGCAGACGCTGAGGCGCACCGCCTGCTCCTCGTCCTCCAGGAAGGCCAGCGCCCGGGAGAGGCGGGACGTCTTATGGCCCTTGTTCCTCCGGCACCAGAAGAGCAGCCCCAGCCCCAGCAGGATCCAGCTGAAGCTCAGCCCCAGGTAGCCGAGCGCATACACCGGGAAGAGCAACACGAAGCTGCGCGCGAACTGAGACAGCAGCTCCGGCACGTCCACGCTCAGCATTGAAGCAGGGGGCTCGGGCGCCGGGTCCCCCTCAGCCTTGGGACCCCTGGCCGCGGTGGGGCCCAGGTCGCCCCCGGCCCCTGGGGCGTCCACCCGTACTGGACACTTTTCCCGGGAGCCGCTCATCACGAAACCACGTCCACAGAGGGCGGCAGCAATTTACTCTGACACACCGCTTCCCCCTCCCCCAACCAAGGCGGGCTGGGTGAACCCGCGTAACCCGGGTCCCCAGGCCCAACACTCTCTACTGCGCGCGCCACAGCCTCTCTGAGGGCGATCGCCCAGCCCCGCCCCACCGCTCGCCAAACTGCCGCTGGCGCGCCCGCGCTTCCGCCCGCAGGAGGCAAGTGCACGTCATCACGCAGGGATGGGCGGGGCCGGCCGTTGGGCGCGGCGGCCTGGGGCGTAGGCTAAGCGGTTGGGCGCCAGCCACCGGGGGTGGGAGGTTGGTTCGGCGCCAAACTTGGCCGTTTCCAGCGGCCCCAAGGAGGAACCTTCCCGATGCTCGGTGCCACGAGACGGTTAGGGAGCGGTCTCTTGACCACTTACCCAGCTCTAGGATGGTGATTAAAGAAAAGGGAGAGGTTAGCGAGATGACGTCGTGGAACGTGCTATGGTTGCCGAGGGTGCGGGTTACAGCGCCTGGTATGTGCTGGGCTCTAGAGAGGAAAGTGTCCCGCCTTGGCCGGATTGAGTCTGACACTGCCTGACTACACCCTCACGCATCCACGTTGTTCTCGGACCCGACGGCGAGTCAGAATCACCTGAGGTGATTTAAAATATACTTGCCCAGGTTCAAGCCTCAGAATCTCCAGGGTGGGGCCTTTTCTTCCGTAACCTCGGGAATGACAAGGGATGTGTTCAGTTTGTGAAAATTCATCGAGCTGAACATTTTGGGATAAGTGCACTTTCCTCCATTACTTAAGTCATTCTTAGTATATTTTTAAGCCATTTTAAAACAAAACAACCTCCCTGTGGGGTTCTGATAGGTGGCAGTGTCATAAAGCAAAACGGAAGTTACCTTTTCTATTATTAGTGCGGATAACAAGACAGTTTAAAAGTTTGGTTTTTTTCCGGTTTTGGAATCTTCTCAAGTTATCTTGGAGATGTGAAAAGCTTGGTAAGGTGATATTATTGTCCATTTTGTATATAATGAAGGAATTTAGGCTCAAACAAATAACTTGCCCAAGGTGACACTTTGGCACATGGGCAGGAAAGTTCAGAAAACAACTCAGGAATGTGACTTCCACACCATTGCTCTTAAACATTATGCTATACTGCTTCTCTAAAAGGTATCAAAATTACAGCCAGTTAACTATTTTTTAAGTAATAGTCCAGACCTGGCTTGTGATTTCTGAGAGTACTTTCTGGTTAACTCAGAGGATGAAGACAGCTATTGATGACTTTATTTTCTAGTACGTTCAATCAGGGTAATTATATTTGTCTTGTATTCTCCTTAAAGCCAAAACCTGTAGCAGAGAACATCGTAGTTGAGTGTTTTTGAGCATATTCAATGGCCTGGCCTCTTTAAGACAAAGCATCTCCTATTGCTTCTGCGTCTCCAGAGAACCCTGATTGATACAATATTCTACATGAAAACGTTGCTCCAGAGTCTAGAACATTAAACTTCAGGCAAGGGCACTAAACTTCAAGCAAGGCAAGGGAAGTGGTTTTTCTTTTCTAGCTCTTCACATTTCCTTGTTTGCCCCACAGTCTAATTACGTTATGTAAATTGCAACTATATAATGGGCAGTTTCAACTCCTTTCACTATGCAGCTGCTTGATGTTCTTAATGTCAGCTTTCATTCAAGGCTAAGTTTTTATTAACAGCAAAACAAGCAATTGTATTGTTCACGCAGGAAGGAGCATTAGCCTTTCTGTTTTTTGAATGTTCCTGCCCAAGAGTTGTAGAATCACATTCCTACAGACTTGTGTGAGCATGAGCCACGTAAAAAATGCTGTACCATCTGCTACGAAGTATTTGACGTAGGGACCTAAGATTGTAAAATACATTGAGAAGTAAAGTGTCCATGTTTGTATACCAAGCAGCCTCCTCAGGGCCTTAGCTACTTTCTTTCTAACCAGCACTGAACTTCCATCCCTTCCCTGCACTTAATGATAGGAAGAAGAATGTAGAACATATAGCTATTGCTACAACTCAGTCTCATTTTATGCTGACTTTAATAACAGATTCGTGTCCAGTAGTTAGATTTTTACTAATATTTTACTCTTTATATTACTAAATCTCCTGTGACTTTTTCATGTTACCTCTATCCTTACCTTCTGTGCAAACAGTTCTCCAACGGAAGACTTTGTTTTCTTAGAGGAAATAAGAGCATTACTGTGAGAATTCTAGCACAAAACTATAAAGTTTCAGTATCTGCACACATCCTTTCTTCTTTCTTTTTAATTTCAGAGAAAAGTGCTATCTTCTGTTTAAATGATTTCTGCTTTGTTTTTGATCCCCCTACTTAGGTCTGGGCCCTGTCAATCCCTCTCCCTTTCTACTAGCTCCTCCCTCAACACCTCTAAATAGATTTCATTGTAGAGCGGTGAAAGTTCACACTCTGCCTCTCTTCTTCCTCTTCTTTTTTTTTTTTCCTGTACTAAGTTTTTAATCAACTTTATTGAGGTATAAATTACATACAATAAAATTGACCAACTTAAAATGTACAATTCAGTGAGTCTTGATAAATGTAAACAGTTATGTAGCCATCACCATAGTTAAGATATAGAACATTTATACCACCCGAAAAAGTTCCTATGTGCCCCTTTGTAACCGATCCCCTTCTCCTAATCCTGACCCCTGGCAACCACTGATTTGCTTTACATCACTGTACTTTTGCTTCTTCTAGAATTCCATGTAAGTGGAGACATACAATATGTAGTCTTTTGCATCTGATTCTTTCACTTACCATAATGCTTTTGAGGTTCTTCTGTGTTGATGAGTGTATCAAGAGTTTATTCACTTTATTGATACACCACGATCAATTTAGCCATTCATTGGTTGATGAACATTTAGATTCCTTCCAGTTTTTTACTATTATGAATAAAGTGGCTATGGACATTTGTGTATAAGTCTTTGAGTAGACTTTGTTTTTACTTGGGTAAATGTCTTGGAATAGGATTCTTGGGTTGTATAATAGATTTATGTTTAAACTTTAAGAAACTGCCAAACTTTTCTAAAGTGGCTGTTTGGAAACTGCCAAACTTTTTCAAAATGAGCATTTTGCACTCCCACAGCAATATATGAGAGTTCAGTTGGTCCACATTCTTACCAACACCTAGTTATTGGTCTTTAATTTTAGTTATTCTAGTGTAATAATTTCTCATTGTGGTTAATTTGCTCTTGCCTAAGGGAAGACTAATGATGTGAACCGTATTTTTGTGTGCTTATTGATCATTTGTATATCTTTTTTTTCCTAAACTATGAGTTTATATCTTTTGCCTCTCTTCATGCTACCAACCAACATTTCTTTTTTTTTGCCCAAACTCACCAGGATTCCTATTTATGTATTTCTGTGATGCTTCTTTTGTGATACGACTACACATTCTTAACAACAAACATCCAGTACCTGAACTATCCTGAGTGGGTCTCTGTGCTTTACAACCAGAAGAGTCAGAATAAGCATGGTCCTTCTCTTCCTGTCTTCCTTTCCTATTCCTTTGCTTTGCTTACCTTCTTGGCACAGAGGAGTCGGTGGCAGGCCTATCCTGAGGGGGTATACCATTCTGCCCAGAGACACAGGAAGGTGACTGGGTGAGAGGCCTGGAGGTGGCCAGCAGAGGAGACAGTCAACCTGGTTACACTGAAAAAGTTAATAAATATACTGAGGCTAAGGAAAGCCAGGTTTCTCACCATTGGAGAAGAAACTTACAAACTTGGGAAGGGAGAAGGCTAGAAAGAATCCTGAGGTGTTGGATTAGAATTGGAGGTATTTGTAAGAACACGTGTTTCTTTTGGTTTTGTTTTTTAAAGATATATGCCAGATAGATATAAAGTAGTTATACTTAAATGTATTTGTGTGTATATATGTATAGGTGTATGTGCATATAAACTTGCATGTGTTTTTTAGTTCAGTCTAGAAGCATCTAGAAACAATGGTACCCCAGTACCAATGAGTAAACCTAGTTCCCAGGTCTTGAGTTCTAAATACCATTCTTCAATAAGAGGAGCCAGGGCTCTTTGGAGAAATAGCTGATTCCAGAGCTGCAGCAGTGAAACTATAAGATAAGCCTGTAATATCTTGATGTGCCAGAACGTAAGAAGGTGCTCAAAGACTCAAGTGATTCAAAAAACATAGGAGCCTACTTGGAGGGGCCTCAGTTGGCCAAATCTAGGACAATTTGAGCAGCAAAACAAATAATGATATTATCAGATTACATACTGATATAAATGAATGGCTGAATGATGAATTAATGGAGAAGAAGGGGAAGGTCTTCTTTACAGTATAATGCCAACTAGTAAATGGAGAAGGAATGATGAAAATAGAAAATCATCATTTAGCAGTCGTGATTGTGGTGGTTGATTCAGTGGTGAGTTATCACTGAAGGCTAATGGTAGGTGGAGGTTTAATGAGGAATAATATTGGAAAACCTTTGCACAAGATACTTATCAACTACAGAGGGGAACATGGGGTCTTTACCATGAAGAAAATGGGCAGGCACCAACATGACCAGGTGATCAAGGTAAATATCATCAGTGGTGGGACAGGTTGAACTTGTGAGTTCCTGATGTGATGTACTAAGAGCACAGCACCATTTCTGAGACATTCCTGCCAAGAAAGCATGACCTGAGACTGAGCATGAGGAAACACTGGAGAGACCCAGTATGTGGGTCATCCTGGTTTCTTCAAAACTGTCAAGAGGACTTCCGGGCAACATGGTGCTATAGGCAGAAGCACCACACCATCCCTTCACAGCAAAGATCTGAAAAACTAAGCCAAACAGAGAAAATGGAAATCCTGAAACCCTAAGCATCAAATGAAGAGATAAAGAACTCAGCCAAGCACCAAATGAAATAAGAAACTGACAGAGAACAGAGAGCGAGGTGAGATACATGCAGAGGTCACCTATCAGCTACCGCAGTGTGGATCTGCCATCTTGGACTCCTATCAGAGATCAGCGAACAGGGAGTATGAGAAAGCAACTTCATGGAGCTTCCAGCAGGAGACAGAACAACTTGTAACCAGAGATATACACTTTCCAGCCCCCCACCCTTCTTCACCCTAACTCAGCCTCCTCTGCTTCCTGCGGCCAGTGTCTTGGCTGTGAAGCACCACCTTCAGCCTGGTGTCATTTGGGTTCCGACCACCCGTGCTGGCTGCTCCCTGAGTGCCATTTGCTGGTTGCTGGGGTTGCTTTTTTCCACTTCTTTAGATTTCTTCCTTACCTCTCACCCCTCCTTTCTTTCAAATACCTGGCTCCGTGTGCCATCTTTGCTTTTTCCTGAAATGCCCCACAAATGTGAAACTGCTTCCTGGCCTATGCTGCCACACTGGTGAGGTCCTGGGGCTTTTTGTTTGTTTGTTTGTTTTGAATTGTTTGTTTTCTTTTTCTTTTCTCAACTTGGGAGCCTGTTCTAGCTGGGCAGTACTGCACGGCTTGGGGCCTACCTCCTCAGTTTGCGCAGATGCGGAGTAGAATCCCCGAGGGCATTTCTTTTTTCTTGAGCTTTTTTTTTTTTCTTTTTTCTGTTTTTCCTTGGGGGGTTTTCTTGTTCTTTTTTTTTTTTAATTTGTTTTGTTTTCTTTTCCCTCTTTTTCCCTTTATGTCTTTCTTCATTACTCAGTTTCTCATCTCTCTGTACTTTGCTAATCTTCCTGTCCCCTGAATACCTGGTGCTGAGAGACACCTGTACCCCTTCTAGCCAGGCTGTACTTCGTGACCTGGAAGCAACTTCCCTAGACTTCACAGCTGCACCGGAGGGATCCCTGGGAGCTTTGCTTTTCTTCTTTCATTCTAATTTCTATTTATTCGTTTTTTTCTTTTCTTTTCTAATTCTCCGTTTTGTTTTTCTCCATTTCATAGTCTCTCATCTCTCCACTCCAATGGCAAGCTCCCCAGCACTCTTTTTTGTTTGCATGTTTTTGGCTCCCGTTCCTCTCTCCTCTCTCCCATACACTTCTTAGCACCACACATCACAGTCTCCCCCCTCCAGCCTGCCTACCTATACCATACGCTGAACATCACACCACGATGTAGCCCAGGCACGGCCTACCGGAACCTGCCCTGCACTGATTACCAGCTCGCCGTGGTAGCCGTAGTAAGTGCCACAAACAACCCATCTCAGCAACTCCTCTTAAGCTAGACCTGCCCTGCTGTACCATATCTGAGCAAATGACCCTGCCAATTGGAGAAGGAGGTGAAAAGAATCGTGTCCAAAGACGAGCAAACAACAAAGAACACACAGCCTGCCTGCTCAGACATAGCCAAATAAAACAAAAAAGCAAGATGAAGCAAACAAACCTACAATCAATAAACAAGAAAAAATAACTACTGAATGCCCCAAAGACAGCAGACATTATCAAAACATTTACAAAAACAGGACAGGATGGTAGGCATCCAAAATAAAACACCAGCTGCCTTTCCAGTAGAAGAAAAGGCACTAGAACTACCTGAAAGGGAATTTAAA